GATTATGCTGACACGACGAATCTAGGGAAGAAATAACATTGAAATTAGTTCACAATGCAAAAGATCACAATGCTGGGTAGGGTCAAAACGATCAAAGGACTAAGCAGATATGATTTCGTTTCGCTAGTAGGAGTTTTAGTTTAGACTGGGATTAGTTGTCCTCACGATCCCATAGTCTATACTTTACACTATGAGATTACCAATGTACCGATCGGTGTTTGTGCATGTAAATCAAACTTACTGATAGGTCCCCATACACAGAGCCAAAACTCCAAACCAAGCGTACGTTTAGTACGCTGATACTATGGCCACCCAAACGTGAAAACTGTTTCTTCTATACGTGTCATTTCCTTTATCTATCGCTCCGTGCTGTAGCAACCCCCTCCAAATGGCAACACGTTTCTTCGAACTGGACCATATGTCAACTGAGAACGACGTTAGTTTTTTCCGAATGCAGACATATGGATTTATTTGAAATGTACCACCACAGCTGAGATTAAGAAAAGTTAGCTGAGAATTCGAGTGTTGATTCGATTGGTGATCGTTTGTCATACCTGACTGTGGAGTTTCGCTAAATATAGATAGTGCACACTTATGTGAGGACTGACGACGTTTCTCCGTTTAATATGCGTGATAAGCTTTTCAGGCGAAGAATAGTCAATGAACAAAACTGATCGATAATTTTGTTTTGTGACTGTATTTCAGTGACTTTATTCCTATGGGACCTTTCCCTTCAAAACTGAGGAATCTTAGCTGGTCTCTGAAAAAAGGATACGTTATATTCGTAATGCACTACTCATTAGGTTGCTGAAAATTCTTCCAACAGTCCCTTGCAAAACCTAATTTGTTTGCAAATGAGTGTATTTCGCTAATTTCGTGCAAGTTGGTTTCAAGTAGAACAAAAGTTTGATGGGAACTCGGAGACTGCGCCTACGTGATGAGCCCCAAGAAGGGCGAAACCGGTCGTGGGCTGTCGAAGAATTTTCGGCAACCTTATGAGTAGTGCGCTACAAAATATATAGGTATCGCGATATCGCGAATATCTTAGCAACTGAGACATGAGGGGCCTGGTGCAGCACATCCAATTGGCTGGAAAAAGCACGAACGAGAGATTCAGCTGGGTCCCAAATGAGTCATGAGGCTTGCAAAACAAAATTTGTTTGCAGATGAGTGTATTTAACTGAGGATACGTTTTACCTGCTGCCTAGGTATGTATACAGGTTGATGTCAATGTAAAAAACCACACTGAGTGCAGCGGTGGGTTTTCGACCCAAGAGACCGACGGGACAGATAAAAGCACAAAACTAAAAATGGGCCAACCGTGCAATTAAGAGTGGAGTGAATGGTCACACGAGTTGCAGCCGCCATTTTGCTGTCATTTTCCACGACTGTTTCCCTCATGGATTGCTATCCGCTTCTTACGTCTACCAAAGCACACTCTTAATTCATGGTTTTTGTGCTCATTATCTTATGCTTCTGCCACCAAATTGCACTTTTCTGCTTGTCCTTAAGAAACAAAACAGTCACGGTGCAGAATGTGTCTATCTGCATTAAGAAAGATGTTTATCGTATTTCTTGGTCCTCTGAGCAACGATGCAGTCAGTGAGAGTGAATAAATGGAAACCTAGGCTAGATTCACTTTTGAGTCGAGCCAGTGAATGTCGACTATTTGAGCAAGATATTTTGCCATCTCGACCGTTCCCGTTGTTGAACTAGCAACAATCAGTCTTCGTTAACAATAATCTACTAATAAACTATGATTCCGAAGAGCTTTTGTTTCTCCATTGCTTTGATATTTGAAAAATGATCGGTTTGCTGAATCATTACTAAATAATTCGGTCCTGCAAACTGCTGAAATCAAGTGAGGCACTTCCACCCTCAAGGTATCATTGTTCTTCTCTTATAGATGCTCGAGGCCGAAAACGTACAGCCTATAATACTGGTTAAGTTCCGTTTTGCGATTCTGACTTGATGCGATCTTGAGTTGACAGATGCTGGGCTGATGAAGAATTCCACGGTTGTGTTGGATCTGTCTCGGCTTGCTGCTAACAGCGTGCTAGTGGCCTTAATGTGGTTGCCACATTATAAGTCTTATCATTTGCTTGTCCCTCCTCCTCACACGTCATATTTTTAGGACTGATAATTTGGCCACGGATTCCCTACTGTCGTAAAAATTCGTTCGGCTGTAGCACCCTTTCGGTGACTAACTGCCATGCCACCACACGAGGGACAGGTCGCCCAAGCCTAGAGAGGGAAAGTCTAGAGGCAGAGGTCAGCTTCGAACCACGGGACTTCCAGTCAGTCATAACCATCTCCTCCCCTGCCTGTCGCATAATGATACTTTGTTCAGAACTGTTGGTCTGAATCAGCGGTCCCTGCTGAGTTTATAAAAAATGGTTCCAAACTGGAATACCAAGAATATCTGAGAAACACATCCAGTGTGATTACATGACTTTGAACAGAATGCGTGCGTGTTGTCACGGCTTTATGGCGTACCCACAAAAGAGAATTCAAGGACATGTGGGTGCACATGAATATGTGCACCCCGAATTGATTCCGAGTCATATTCACAATAGTAAGGTGGAGTCCACTGTACTCACCCATTTGACAAAACCCGCAAGTGTTCGACCGATCCAGTCGAATATGTTGAATGACAGAAACACAATCACCGGAACGAAAAATACGGCTAAAACAGATGTGGGGAAAAGGACGTCCGATTAAATAGAGAGTTTGTATGGCAGAATAGGTTTTCGATCTGCGATGTTTTTGCCAGTAAACTTACACGACCAGGCGTTGTCTGGATCGAAATGAACCGATTTGATTGGTTGCAGTAGAGCGGGGTAGAGCATCAAAGTATACATCAGTGTCAGCATAGTGCAGCCACCATGAATCCACATCTCATATAAGGATTTTAACAAATGTCTTGAAGAACGTTGTGTTACGTGGGGTTCATCCGATTCGAGAACAGTTCCCGAACTTAATTCGCTGAGTGGCAGGAAGTTTTCCTCACCGTCTTGAGTTTTCGTGTCATTCACTTGGATACAGACTGCAAAGAGAATAAGAATAAGAACCAGGCGAGGATTAATGCAGCAGTTTGAATTTGTAACGTTGTAATGGTAACAAGATTTGTGTGAAGACTGACTCACAGGGCTTTGTTCACATGTGTCCATTTTACGAATGGTTGGGTACACAGTAGCAAAGTACATCAAAACAGAAATCACGGCGGTCTTTAATAGTTAACCGGCTGCCGCAACTTCCTTTACCGATGATTTAAGGGGGGGGGGAGGTAGCTGCGCATTACAGGCGGAAGACGATAAATTGGTGCATAAATCCAGCACTGTCAGTGGGCTGTCAGGTTGGAGGCTTGGAAAAGGAGCTATGCATTGAAGGCAGTAGCTTGGATGAACCAGCGCCATTGAGCGCGCCACTGAGCCTGATGTGACCCGTCTTGGGTTCCCCATCCAGGAAGACGGCAGTGACCAGCGCAGCTGAGTTTGCTGGTACTGGTTTTCATACTTCGCTGCCAAGTCATTGTTTGACCGCCTCTGGCTCTCTTCCACCCTTCACGTGGTTGTGCGGAAAGAGCCCTTCGAGGAAATCGGTCGACTGGCATAAGTAGCACGTGGCCACCGGACCCTTTTTCTTTTTTATCACCAATTCATAATCACTGACGGCAAAACACACATACTGTACCTGCCGTGCAACAAATTAATTCAAGGCCGTTAAGGCAGATGGACTGTTTTCTTCTGTTACCCACACTATTCACATATTTAGGGCTCACAATCGCGACAGACGGATGGCAGTTTATCATCTATTAAAGACAGTTTGTTATACGTGGGGATTTCAGGTCCAAACATGAGATGGAAAGTATGCGTCCTAAATAGTTTGAACATTATACCGTTCGTTCTCTAAGTAGAAAGCCGATGGTCTAGTTGCATTCTTCCCAGGGCGAGTATTTTTTCATAGTATATATGCCCGGTTTTCCCACATCAGAAAGCACTATCTTTGTAATGTACTACTCATAAGGTTGCTGAAAATCCGTCGACAGCCCACAGCAACCTTTGAGTAATAAATTACAAAGATATACATGTGTCGCGATATCCCGAATATCGTAGCGAATGAAACATGAGGTGGCCTGGTGCAGCACATTCAGTTGCCTGAGAACATCACAAACGAGAGATTCAGCTGGGTTCCAGGTGAGTCTCTCCAAAAGAAATCCGAATAAGTTTGCAAATGAGTGTATATTTGCTAGTAAACACTATCCTTCACATTTGTAGGAGAAAATTTCAAAATCAAAGTTCTTCGTGTACCGCAATAAAGTCGCTTACTTTTTCGAATATTCTACGTTTCTGTGAGCCCAATATTATTTACCACGACATCGCACTTTGTCCTTTTTGAAACATGTCTCTTTGTCCCTCGTCAATGCAAAACGCATGAATGGGTGTGCCCATGTATACTGCCTGTACGTGCGCTGGAATAACTTCCAACGTATAAGGTAATCTTACCCGTATTTTGGTTTCTACATTCACAAAGTGCGTTAGGCTGTGGTCTGCCCTGTTCCGTTTGACTGGCTCTTACACCAACATAAGCCGCTCTCTTTTAACGTATTCAAGCTCACAAAACAGGCGGATGATCATCAGCTAGCAAAACAAAAGTATCCTGAAGGTGATTTGGTATTTTGAAGGTGTGCTGGGGGGCAAGACATTGGTGCAACACCAAGAAAATTGGCTAACTGAGGAGCTTCACCTTACTGGACGTCCATTGCCATATGAAACATATAGTCCTAAATCCTTGCCATGTTTATTCGTTTGGTTGCCTAGGTTGGCTCTTTCGGTTTTGAAATGCCTAGCCAAGTTGTGTTCATGAACGATTACAAACCTGAGTGTGCAAAACAAGCACGATTCGATTTTCGATTTTGCGTTCTTTTCTTCTGGGGAAGAACGATTCTCACGTTTATCAACTGCTTGATTTGGCGCAGAATTCTTGTAGAACCAATGCACGTCACATAAAAATATAAGGGTGGTTACGTTTCTACGGTGATGGAGGCACTGCGGGAATCAACTCGGATCGATGGAAAAACCACCATAAGACAAGCAATTAGGGAATGTTTGCGTCTACTTGGTTAGCCACACAGCAATGGAGCGTAGCCAACCAGAATGACCGCAAACAAATGTGTTTGGCTTTTTATGAATCTGCCAAGCCTTGAGCTAAATTAGTTGACGGAATAGAAGACAGCATAAAATCACCAACAAAGTCGTGCCCGTGAGATTAAAATGCCCAAAATGTGATTTTTCTGTGCCATTCTTTGTTATTGATTAGCTTAACGGATTTGAATAAGCTGTAAATTTGATCCTGTTGACTAACTGTGAATAGTTTGCCCGATGGTTCAAGAGACAGTATTTGAAATCACATTACCGACAAGAGTATACATTATCGTCAAAATCTAGCAATAAATAAAGCAAGTCCAGTGAATTTTCAGATAGGGGACTATCGCAAACACAGCTGAAACTGTTTCTCTGTTGTTCATACACTCTTTGAAAAGAGCTCAACATTCTTCCAGTAAACCATCTGAAATCAATCCATTTTCCACTTTCAAAATCAGGTTGGTGACAGTAACAGGCGACATGACCTGTGTTATCTCCAACCCGTGAATCTGTCTATTCAAGGAACAGGTAACGAGGTTCTTTCATTCGTTTCAAACAAATGGAGACTTCACCAAAATTCCACAGAATAAGTGTAACACCGAAATCGATTCTAGGTACGCGAAAGTGAGCGCGCCATAAGATATTCCATTAGCTGATGGATACTCTGGCCTCCAGTAGTAAAGATTTGACCTTCGTTGTTTGAAAGACTCATTTGAATTTTGCTGTACATTTATCGTCATCCTCCCAAAATGTGTTTCCAGTTGAGGTAGATTCCTTGTTTCGTGATGTTTTATAGGTGAGGATCGTTGATCGGCTTCCCGCAGTGCCCCATCAGGTGTATTGCTTTAGTAAATAAGAGAACTTATACTGACCTGTGCACAAAACGTTCCTTTTGGTTTAGAACAACTACATACGGACAGAGTGATTTTGGTCTTATGATTAGTCCACTGGGCGTCACTTTATTTAATATTCTTCTGGCAAATTTAAGGAACGACTTCGTGACATACCTCAATTCTTTGTACATACAAACCCTACGTGAATGACATTTTGAGGCTCACCTGTGATGTTAGTCTGAGATAATTTTTTGGTCTGGACAATATTTACTCTAGCCCACCATTGTCCCATCAGGTAGTTTGAGTGTCAAATGCGAGTCCAGGTTCTCTAGATGATTCTACATCTGAATAGAAACTTACATGGTGCGATCTATTTTGAGGTTAATGTCCACATTCATTAGGCCCTCGTACATCCCGTGAAAGCAACATCGACCGGAAGTGCCAGGACAGTGAAAAAACAACTGGCTGGATAACAAGCCTTCTAGAAGCAGATACTGTTCGCCCAGACAGTTGCCATCACTATTCACAGCAAAGGTGCTACACAACCTGATACGGTAGATAACAAAAATCCAACTCCTCCCTAAACCGAATGTACCAAATATCATGTGCTTCATGCAAACTTCAAGAGCATGCTAAACCAGTCTACCATGCAGGTTATTCAGCAGTTTACTTGCAGATGCAGTAGAACCTACACGGGTAGAATGGATCGGTGCCTTTCTCAGATGATTTCCAAGCGCCCCCAAAACATTCTGATACAGACCATGCAGCTGGCAGACAAAAACATTACCAAAGGCACCTAACTGGGTTTATCAACTTCATGAACTAGCGCTTTAGAGCAGATCACGTGGTTGACCCCTCTCAGGTCATCAAGTATCTGCTGTACAAAAAGCGCATTAATGTGTCAGCTTTTCGTGATTAAGTGTAACTGAGAAAACAGTAGAAGTGTTGTTTTAAACCATATTCTTACTCTGTAGCTGGACCTTTGTAATATAAGCGACGTAAGTTACTCGGTCTTGGCATGTCTTATATGTGAGTGTGGGATGTTTCGAGATTGTGACTAAACAGTCAAATTCAAAACTATAACCAACTTCAATATGTCTTGTGTCAGTTTTGGAGGAATTGGATTAGGAGAACCTAAGATGTCAGCTCTTGTACAAGTAGCTTATTTGCGAGAAAAACATGCACTAAGCACTTTTCTCTGGCAATCACCTGACCATTTGTTGACAGTCAGATGAATTTGTCCAACTATTCTTCTTCAGCGAATTGGTTTGGGGTATAAATCCTTAATATTTTTTCTGTGCCATAGGTTTCCTACTCGTTTATGTACAGTTAATGGGTCTAGTAAAACCAACTTAAAACCGTAGTTAGTGTGCCCCGTAAAGTTGACCGCGCTGCGCACCCGTCGTGGAATAACGCTGTGCTGCAGCCCTTCTTCTTAGGAAACCTGTTACTCCCGACTGGAGTAACTTCGGGGAATTTTCAGACACACTTATCTCGGTCTTTTTCCACCAAAGGCTATTTACTACGCGTTTTTGACGCAGAAATTGCACTGCGCACGCCAACTAAAGCGGAAAACAGCCCTTACTTTTGCAGCCGTCGAGGCCTCAAAACATGCTGCCCTGCTTTGATTTCTGCAATATTCTTGTGTTGTCAGCTCAAGAAGAGCTAACTAGCACTAGGTAATACACTTTCCAGCAGGGCTGTCCGCAGTGACATAGCTGCTGCCTATTCTGATTGTCCTTAGGTAAAGTTCACCCCCTTCCCCGAGATACAGCATTTCAATCCGTCATGCCTTTCCTCAGTCCCCAGATGTCGTGACGTCCATAATGGACTATAGCTAAAAGCTATCAATGGCGTCACGAAACAGAACTCAATAATCCGATAAATAATGGTCACAAGTTGCGGCTGTTCAATAATAAACCATTATTTTGCTCATCTGTCTGAAACGCTAGACTGTTGTTCAAGCACCAGCATAAGTACAGTGACCCTGAAAAGCTCTCACTTCATACTCTTCACCTTCTTGTATTCTGGAGCGGCAAACCTCCAGTTTAATTCAAGTATTGTTGCGCTTGACTCGTGAGATAGCGACTTACCACGTAGCAAAATTTATTTCGAAGATAAAAGAACAAGATCGTTGACAGTTATTGCGATACGCACTGACCCATTTTTAGCTTCAAGTAACAAAAATATAATTGGAGGATGAATGTTTATCGCCAAGACTGTTTTTTTTTTCGAGTAGATTTAATCGGAGAGTCTTCAAACCAGAATTAAGTGATAGCCATACTCAACATACGAATCACCACTTGAGTAAAAATATAAAATAATGCCGCAAGGCCAGCCAAACAAGCAACCTGTACGGACAAGGCCGGAATAGCAATAAACCTGCTTAGTGGACGTTGTGCAGCCAGGCACACGTTTGCATCTTCTTCTTTGTCACCAGTTATGGATTCGTTAGGGCACGATGTGCCCATTCCATGTAGAGTGATAAAGGGATGATCAACGGTGAGTGACGCTTTTAGCTTTGGTGACTAGTGTTTTTGTCACAAATTACGCTGACAGGAATCCGGGTATGACAGTACAAGTGCTGCAACTCGTTATTTAAGCAATGTTTCATCATTCCACCCCTGCGAACTCCCGCTGAGTGCAAAATTATGGAAAGCCTTTAGGAAACCCACAGAAAACGTTCTGACCAACATCATCATCAAGAGGGAGAACTCACTTTCAGTGTCCCAGTAAGAATTAAAGTGGGCCTGCAGAAAAGAAGGTAAAAAGAGTGTCACGGGTTGAGCGAAAATTTTCATCCGCTTTGGGGAATAAAAGAGGAAGAGTTTTTTTTAAACAGACGAGGCACATCATGTAATCTTCGCAAAAAGCAAGATTATTTAGGGTTGCACATGTTGCACTAATCGTTCATTCTCGGGTCATCCTGGGTGAACGAAGGAGCAAAAAGACAACAGAAACAACAACAACAACAACAAACAAACAGGATGTGATGTGAAAACAACCAAACCGGTCAGTCAAATTGTATGATCTTTGACCCAGTGGCGCAAGGTCAGTTCAGGTCAAAACACTCACAAGTGCAACGCGTCCGTGCCGCTGAGAAGCATTGTCAACCAAAGAGTGGTGACGCCACAAAATCTGCGCAATTGGCTGGCAGGGGGAAATTTTCCCATTCTATTTAGTGCAGCTTCCAAACGCCGGTCTGTAGTATGGTGGGAAGACATGGCTACTGTTCATTTGACCAGTAGTACATCGGATATGAAGTGGATAACATGGATATAACGGTTACAACCGATCTAAAAAATAGTGGAGCTCTCCCAGTTGAATAAAATCCAAAAATCAAGGTCAATAAGTTCGGTATGGAGAAGGGTGGCCATTCGTTCTTCCAAAAAATGATGATAATCTCTTGCAGGCTGGTCGGAGTAAATTTTCGGCTGAACGTGAAACAACGAGTTGTTCGCTTGTCTGCATATTGAATCCAAAAAATTCGTAGTAAATGGGCAAATTGCCTGGAATATACATATTCTTTTGTCGCACAGTGACTTTTGACCAGTATGTGTCCGATAAGACAAGTACCGAGCTCGATTTTCGCTCGCACATTAGTTCAGCAGTAGTAAATACACTTAACCATTCCAAAGATGTACAAATCACCCACCCTTTCAGCCCACACTACGTAAATGAATTGCTTTTACCCATGATCCCTCAACATGCCTGTTTGTCCCTCACCGAAACGCTGACGTTGTACCTCTTATACAATGGAAAACATTGCACACGCTATCAGGTGTGATACATAGTTCAAAACATAGCTACGAAAAACAACGGAAGCAAGATTCAGGTAAATAAAAACGCCCGTTCTTGCAGGAAAGTGCTTCCCTGTAAATAAGAAAAACGCATCTGTAACTGATTTAGCATGAAAAACATCACTGTGGAATCCATAGTTTTCAGATTATCACATTCCAGGTCGACAACACCACATTGGAAAACGGTGTGAATAACACAAATCTGTGACCAATAAATCTATGGTTTTCTTGAATATCCAGAGTAAGTAGCTTGCAGAACTTTGGAGGTTTGGTTAATTCCATACTGACTATTGCTGCAGGGTAAAATTACTAGTGATTGGTACCTCAGTCGATAGAAGAAATCTGGCAATACGGGTACAATTCAACGAAAAATCAACCGCAGCAACTAATCCTCCTCAGGAGGTAATTAAAAGAAAACACTCCGTTCAAGACATATCTGCCCTGCTGTTTTGTGGCGGAAAGACTCATTGGCACATTGAATGAACCGTATCTAGAGTGTTTTTCGAAGTCAGCGATATTACTACTGTTACAGACACCATGTTGACAAAAGAATGTCATAAAATCTGTAGAGGAAATGTTGGTTGATTGATCGAAAAATTGCATTAGGAGCACATGGAGTTGATTGACTGCCATGCACAAAGAATTTCGGAGGCAGAAAATGAAATGATACAAAATAACCCCCAAGTTGCGAGGTTTCTACTGTGAATCCACCTGCAGGTTTTTGCACAACATTTGTCGTGTAACTGTGATGAGATTTCCATGTCAGGACTCGGCTTCCTGCTCCGCCCACAATGGTATATCCAAAGGCATGGTAGCTTGAGACATCTCTCTATAGAGACAAAAGGAAATTACTAACACCGTATTCATAGGATCACCACAGAATTTTCCACAAGGTCGCATTAGAATCTTCATCTGGGGCGAGCGGTGCCGAGGTATAATGCCTGATCTTGACTGGCTGACATCCTGGCCAATCAAGATCTGCCTTCGTTTAGCCCGTATTCGCAGCTGACATTCGTCCAACCGACGTGATTTTCCTTAATTAAGAGCGGCTGGCTTCCGGACAACATGATTCTGCATATACGGTACATTATATCCAATTGTGGCGCCATGTGGTATGCAAGATAGCTTGAGTCATCCAACTTGGACAGGCTCGTTGAGCCTAGATAACATATAGCCAGGAGTCCCACCGAACAAAAAATACGTATTGTTTGGGAATTCTCCTTGATGAACTCTCGACGGGAATGACATTAAGAACTCCATACTGGTGGCAGTTTTTCAGGGGGTCGGCATCAGGCTAGTAGTAATTGTGGACTTATTAATAAAGCCTACATGCATTCTTGACGTTATTGTACTGGATTGCCTTTCGATACTAGCAAAATATCCGTAAGTAGATTTCAGGGCAGACGGTTGTGTGCACCAGCAGAGTAGAAATGCACGCACACTCCAGAAGACTCTGACCGCGGATGACCCTATTTGGCCACATTTTTTTCTTACAAACTATTCTCACCACGGAACGGCTGCGATATCGGCACTTTGGAAGGTGTACCAGGCTACAAGTCCAAGGAATTTGTTTTGAATTTTCGAATTTTTGTGCCACACTTGCGTCCAACCAACTGTAACCAAGTGGTTATTGTAAGGCTGATTTATATGGCCGTGTTCTAGACTGACCCCTACAAGTCCAAGGAATTTGTTTTGAATGTTCGAATTTTCGTGCCACACTTGCGTCCAACAAACTGTAACCAAATGGTTATTGTAAGGTTGATTTATATGGCCGTGTTCTAGACTGACCACATATTTCTAAGTATGTTTGACTGAATGATGGAATCTGCTTAATTATTTTTTGGTAGCAATGTCGTGAGGATATTTTGAAAATCTACTGCTACTTCAATAGAAGCAGAGAGCAGATGTAATTCATAAGGCCAGCAATTTTAATGTCATTCGACCCAATATATGAAGCCTCCGGGTAAAGTCAGAGATGACAGCAATCAGATCAGAAGATGAAGCAGCCAGAGTGCCGAGATAGGGTTAGCCAAACTAAGAAACTTTGTATGACGGTTTGGTGACCAAAAATTTAAAAAAAAAAAATACGAGGAAATAACATAAAACTATTTTACCTAATGGAAGACGAAGCATTTTCCGCGTGGAAGTGGATTTTCTGCAGAACAGCTGTTCATTTTTGGAGGACATTTCGTTGCCACCCATAAAATGGGATGCGTGTCCAATGTTATCGACTTTTCAGTTTTATTGACGTTGGTTCTAGAGGAAGGTCCCATAATAAAAGTCACTCTTCCTTTAAACTCAGTTACAGCTGATGTGTTTGAAAGACCTGTATCAGTTTGAAAAAAAGCAATTAAATCATAAAAGAGGAGCGCATCCGATACACACCAAGATGTCGTACTACCTATATCGTTTCAGCATTATTTAGTTGACCAGTAAGAACCGTATCGAAAGCTTCATACAGCGAGATATTAGGTAACAGTTGTACCCGCGTTGTTTCAAGTAGGTCATTCGAGTATGCGTTGGTCTTCTATTTGGAGCTTCCAAAATAAGTGACCGAAAGCCTTGCCTATTCATGAGGTAGACGTGTACAATAGTGCAATTTATTAGACAGCGTGCATACCAGTCCATAGTCCTCAGCCTCAAGGTCACTTTCACCATCATCATCGACAGTATGACAACATGACGACACTGGTGCTTTGCCGTCGTACAGCCATGATTTGTTTGAAAGTCTTATTGTGAAACTGAATGAGGTAGAGAACTAATGCTAGCCTATCACAATAATACCGAGGTGCCCACAACTCCAGACACTCACGCAGTCAATCTGGTAGAAACAAGAACGTGATTAACATTGGTTAGCAGGCTTATCATGCAACGCCCCCCCCCTAGGGGCAGTGGGAACACGTAGTCCCCATCCTGGAAGGCGAGTACCACTGACAGCACCCAAAGTCATTATAAATCAGTGACTGCTTTTACAGCGAATAAAGAAACACATAACCAAGTGAATAATCATGCAGAAGTTATTTTCAATGACAGACAACAGCATTACTAGCGGAAAATCAATAAATATTGATGACAGCGAATCGCCCTATCCAAACTTTTGGCCTCATTAACTCCATTCTAATTTAATTTTCGGCATGTTCTGCCGATTAACGATATGCGTAGATCGTTGTCTCCTCAAAAAAATCTATACGTTAGGTTAACTAACCAGTAGTTCTCATTGATGGACGGTGATAGAGCTTCAACCAGGGTTGGCCAGTTATCAGCTTACAGGTTCAACTATTATCCACGCCGTTTAGCTTAGTTCCTTGAGAACTATGAATGAAAGGTCAAAATGATATTACAGGTGGAGTACCATCACAATTTAAAAAAACACGGTACAGTTACTGCGGCCTACTTTTTCCAGCACTCAACTTCAAAACACTTGGGCTTGTTCAGATCATGCTGATCATGATAAATCCAGGGTACACTCGCCCACCAAAAGAGGAAATGTGTACAGCATACGTAATTTTAGGAGTTTATACATAGTAATTTTTCAGTGAAAACTTTCGCCATGATCACAGTTTCAAAGCGATATATACAAGAGAGTGGTCTGGACGAAAAAATTAGCCCATCCACGCGAACATGCAGACTTTAATAATTTCATTCAGTTGTGTCAGCCCTTCCTAACGTGGATCTGACATAGAAAATAAGCTCAAAATTTCAAAGTGAATTCTGTAATTTTCGCCAACATTTAGGGATAAAGGTGAACCGCAAGAGGTCCCACGTTTATATAATCCTTTGACAACGACCAGTGTTGTAGTTGTTTTTTCAAGACAAGGCAAAAGTACTAGTGCGATTTTGGATCACCCGGTTTTACTGCACTATTAACAGAACCTTAACAGCTTCAGACCAACTCATTTTAGAATTACTCACCAGGTCATGTAGACATACTAGTTATTGTGATGGGCAATTAGGCAAACATGGGGCTATTTTCACGTCAAAGAAGTAGCAAAGCAAATTCACGTCTGGACTATTCAAGGAAACTGACGAACCTCAAATCACAAAATTTTATGCAAATACGGAATTCCCGTCATTCTACCCTATGATACAGGCTGGCGCTTTTAACTGAAATATTCGTGGCGGCAAATGTTTGTGAATTCTTTGACCTCGATTCTACCAACATACTTGTCAATTCAGCTGGTGGTGAAATTTTGAATCGTAAATGGGGAGGAATACGCTCGTCGAAAACGTCGAGTAACGTTGTACTGAACGATTTTTGTATTAAAAAGACCACCGTAGCCGTTCGGTACAATATATCCGGTAGCGCCAACCGAAATTTGCATCGCACTTCGTTAGCAAGATAATCTTCTCTAACAGACAATTTCATGAGAATCTCTCTCCGCGGTGTGATGTGCCAGTTCATCAGACGGGTTTCTTGGTAGCGCTGGCAAATTTTCAGGGTTAGCAAGTCACATGTGCACTCTGAATAAATTTTAACAGATTGCGCTTATATACAAACAACACAAAGCCCAATAACTGTGAGTACTGACCACACCGTTTAGCTTTGCAGAAGAGTGTTCGTCTGCAAGCTCCTTCTGTGCATTACGTGCGCGAAATATTTAAAACTGCCGAGTTGTTTCAACCTACTCCACCTTGTATCGTTAGTTGGAGTGCAGACAACGTCCATTTCAGAAACCAATTTTCCGCGGCACTGACATGTGATATGAGTTCTGTGTGACTAGCTCACATATTTCTAAGTATGTTTGACTGAATGATGGAATCTGCTTAATTATTTTTTGGTAGCAATGTCGTGAGGATATTTTGAAAATCTACTGCTACTTCAATAGAAGCAGAGAGCAGATGTAATTCATAAGGCCAGCAATTTTAATGTCATTCGACCCAATATATGAAGCCTCCGGGTAAAGTCAGAGATGACAGCAATCAGAAGATGAAAACAAGCAGCCAGAGTGTCGAGATAGAGTTAGCCAAACTAAGAAACTTTGTATGACGGTTTGGTGACCAAAAATTTAAAAAAATAGCATACGAGGAAATAACATAAAACTATTTTACCTAATGGAAGACGAAGCATTTTCCGCGTGGAAGTGGATTTTCTGCAGAACAGCTGTTCATTTTTGGAGGACATTTCGTTGCCACCCATAAAATGGGATGCGTGTCCAATGTTATCGACTTTTCAGTTTTATTGACGTTGTTCTAGAGGGAAGGTCCCATAATAAAAGTCACTCTTCCTTTAAACTCAGTTACAGCTGATGTGTTTGAAAGACCTGTATCAGTTTGAAAAAACGCAATTAAATCATAAAAGAGGAGCGCATCCGATACACACCAAGATGTCGTACTACCTATATCGTTTCAGCATTATTTAGTTGACCAGTAAGAACCGTATCGAAAGCTTCATACAGCGAGATATTAGGTAACAGTTGTACCCGCGTTGTTTCAAGTAGGTCATTCGAGTATGCGTTGGTCTTCTATTTGGAGCTTCCAAAATAAGTGACCGAAAGCCTTGCCTATTCATGAGGTAGACGTGTACAATAGTGCAATTTATTAGACAGCGTGCATACCAGTCCATAGTCCTCAGCCTCAAGGTCACTTTCACCATCATCATCGACAGTATGACAACATGACGACACTGGTGCTTTGCCGTCGTACAACCATGATTTGTTTGAAAGTCTTATTGTGAAACTGAATGAGGTAGAGAACTAATGCTAGCCTATCACAATAATACCGAGGTGCCCACAACTCCAGACACTCACGCAGTCAATCTGGTAGAAACAAGAACGTGATTAACATTGGTTAGCAGGCTTATCATGCAACGCCCCCCCCCTAGGGGCAGTGGGAACACGTAGTCCCCATCCTGGAAGGCGAGTACCACTGACAGCACCCAAAGTCATTATAAATCAGTGACTGCTTTTACACCGAATAAAGAAACACATAACCAAGTGAATAATCATGCAGAAGTTATTTTCAATGACAGACAACAGCATTACTAGCGGAAAATCAATAAATATTGATGACAGCGAATCGCCCTATCCAAACTTTTGGCCTCATTAACTCCATTCTAATTTAATTTTCGGCATGTTCTGCCGATTAACGATATGCGTAGATCGTTGTCTCCTCAAAAAAATCTATACGTTAGGTTAACTAACCAGTAGTTCTCATTGATGGACGGTGATAGAGCTTCAACCAGGGTTGGCCAGTTATCAGCTTACAGGTTCAACTATTATCCACGCCGTTTAGCTTAGTTCCTTGAGAACTATGAATGAAAGGTCAAAATGATATTACAGGTGGAGTACCATCACAATTTAAAAAAACACGGTACAGTTACTGCGGCCTACTTTTTCCAGCACTCAACTTCAAAACACTTGGGCTTGTTCAGATCATGCTGATCATGATAAATCCAGGGTACACTCGCCCACCAAAAGAGGAAATGTGTACAGCATACGTAATTTTAGGAGTTTATACATAGTAATTTTTCAGTGAAAACTTTCGCCATGATCACAGTTTCAAAGCGATATATACAAGAGAGTGGTCTGGACGAAAAAATTAGCCCATCCACGCGAACATGCAGACTTTAATAATTTCATTCAGTTGTGTCAGCCCTTCCTAACGTGGATCTGACATAGAAAATAAGCTCAAAATTTCAAAGTGAATTCTGTAATTTTCGCCAACATTTAGGGATAAAGGTGAACCGCAAGAGGTCCCACGTTTATATAATCCTTTGACAACGACCAGTGTTGTAGTTGTTTTTTCAAGACAAGGCAAAAGTACTAGTGCGATTTTGGATCACCCGGTTTTACTGCACTATTAACAGAACCTTAACAGCTTCAGACCAACTCATTTTAGAATTACTCACCAGGTCATGTAGACATACTAGTTATTGTGATGGGCAATTAGGCAAACATGGGGCTATTTTCACGTCAAAGAATTAGCAAAGCAAATTCACGTCTGGACTATTCAAGGAAACTGACGAACCTCAAATCACAAAATTTTATGCAAATACGAAATTCCCGTCATTCTACCCTATGATACAGGCTGGCGCTTTTAACTGAAATATTCGTGGCGGCAAATGTTTGTGAATTCTTTGACCTCGATTCTACCAACATACTTGTCAATTCAGCTGGTGGTGAAATTTTGAATCGTAAATGGGGAGGAATACGCTCGTCGAAAACGTCGAGTAACGTTGTACTGAACGATTTTTGTATTAAAAAGACCACCGTAGCCGTTCGGTACAATATATCCGGTAGCGCCAACCGAAATTTGCATCGCACTTCGTTAGCAAGATAATCTTCTCTAACAGACAATTTCATGAGAATCTCTCTCCGCGGTGTGATGTGACAGTTCATCAGACGGGTTTCTTGGTAGCGCTGGCAAATTTTCAGGGTTAGCAAGTCACATGTGCACTCTGAATAAATTTTAACAGATTGCGCTTATATACAAACAACACAAAGCCCAATAACTGTGAGTACTGACCACACCGTTTAGCTTTGCAGAAGAGTGTTCGTCTGCAAGCTCCTTCTGTGCATTACGTGCGTGAAATATTTAAAACTGCCGAGTTGTTTCAACCTACTCCACCTTGTATCGTTAGTTGGAGTGCAGACAACGTCCATTTCAGAAACCAATTTTCCGCGGCACTGACATGTGATATGAGTTCTGTGTGACTAGCTGTCATTGGATTATATTGATTGCAATCGCACAACCAAACTTGTGAAGCCAGAAGTGCTTATAATCACAGTTTGTTGTGAAAACTAAAATTTCAGTCCGATAACCACCTTTCATCCTGAAAACCGTGCACATATCTACTTAACTAGTGGCAACAGAGAAAGTGACTCCTTTGATTTGAACTTAGGTTTACACCGAATGATAAATTTGATGAATGGGCCTGACATTACGGCCCATAGCTTTTAAAAACACAACCTGCGGTTGAACACCGCAGACGACCAAGTTTTGTCAGCTGTGTACCATAACGCTAAAGTGCCAACAGTGGTTACTTTCATTGGGTATCCAGTGAGTAAAACGACTGAGAAAACGATGCATTTATGTGTGTTTACATGTATACATGATCAGATTTTCATGCAAGATGGCAAGTGCCCATCACTACTAATGGTCTATCCGGTTTGTGAACCGACAGCAACCAAGTTTGTTACATATTATACAGAACACGGAAAAGTGTAACTCACGTTTCGTCTCAACATTAAAGTCATTATTATGGATGTTCCAAGAATAGCCAGAGCGATAAGAAAGTAGGCGAATGCACTTGTTGTAAAGTCGGAAGCCCCAGCAAGACTTGCGATTTGTGCAAGAGCAGCGAGTACGCCAGCAATTGCCTGTACAATGGAACAAACAAACAAAAATAGAAAATGAATTTAACACACCAAAGACCGGGTTATAGTGCACCAGATATGTTAGGTCCTAAGTGAAATGAATCTTCGTCTACTAAGAAACTTTGAGAACGCACTAACTTGAGAGACTAACCTAAAACCTTACTGAAACTTCCGTTAATGATGTTTTCTTTAACTGAATGTGCTAGGTCGTCTCATATTTTGATTAAAATATTGGAGATACCTTAATTCATTATTTAGATGCAATACACCGGCCATAGGGATTTGACATAAGGCCTAATTGACAGTTCTTATGGCTCAACCGAACTGCATTATTATTTGTAGCTATGCGCGCACCCCGAATTCTCCATAGTTTGAGTAACTTAGCTCACATAAAACTGACGTGATACTTACAGGTATATTGTGGATGCTAGCTAAACAAGTCTGGGCTATTTAACAATTAAGATGCATGACACTTTAACGAAGCACAATCTGTTACCGCCTGGCCATCTTTGGCGACTTCTGGTTGATTGACGCAGTATATGTCCATATCTATATCTAGTACACCTAGTAAATCTAGTAGAAAGACCCCTTGCAAACAAGTTTGTACGCTACGGTTAATAAACCAAAAATGATATCTGGTGCCTACGGAACCCTGAGGTTTTCATGCGTTTGGGTAATTGTAACAGATGGACATTTGTAGAACTTTTAAATTTCTATAGGTTTTTCTATTGAGTCTTTGAACAACTGGCTTCATTGGTAAGCTTCAAATTTAACAATGCTTCAAGGTTCGATTCCAATTGAATTTTCCACTCAATTAATTTGGCGTACTCAGAAATTGTGTTTAAAACTGGAGTTCTTTCGGAGACAATGTTTCCGCATTAATCACAATAAAGATAAATTACCGAAGCAATTAGTGTTCATATCAAAAGTAGCTCTTCTACATGAGAATAAGATTTTTTAGTTATTAGGAACAGAAACTGCCTACAGAAGGTTAAAAGCTCGAATGCAAAAGATACACACCCATTTGCTTCAATATCATATAAATACCTGAGTTTTAAACTACGTGTTTCTTGTATAGAAGACAGAAATCGTATTAAACGAATAAAGTGTCGTCCTAATTTTATGCGCCAAAAACTGTGTAAACTAGCACAAATAACTGAGGGCTCCAGTTCAATAGATGTATTTGATGACAATTTCTTCTTATCAGGCTAGGCCAGAAGCACCTAACCCTTCATAGCGGTTGGGATTCCTCCAAAATTAGCCGTTTTTACAGTGTGTTAAACAAGGATTTAGCGTGACCAACGTGATAACACCCGGCTCTTAAATGATAAGCACCTTGAAAGCCAATTATCAAACCAAGCGGCATACCAAGATTTTATCGAGTGTGTTCATACCATGGAATACAACTTTTTATTCTTTAATGTAAGTGTTTTGATATTGCAGAACTGAAGGCAAGACTGACACACTTTGGGGTAAACTAAACCGTGCATCTCTACTATACCCACTTGATCACAGTTGAAGGTCATGACTCTAACCCCCCACAGTAAAGCCTTTTACATAAACACCTAAGACAATAGTTAAAAATTTAAGACACTTAGCAACTGGTTTATTGGCAAGCCAGCTTGTCATTGCGACAAGTGAACTGTAGGGACAACTATTTTGTAACACTGAAGAGTAATTCATCTCACCTTGAATTCATTTTTTCTAAATAAAATCAGCGAACCAACTTTCAACCTGATTTCAAGGTTATTTTGCCTATATCAAAATAGACACCTGATGACGCAAGGTGCTTCCTCAGTAGGCCACTTTTGAACTCCGATCCCTCCTATGACTTCCCTGAAAGATATTTCCAGGTGTATAAGACACGTAAGCAGTTTCGACAGACCGATTCGTCGTAATAAAACCTAGGTTAATCAGGACCTTTAAAATCCAAGTCTGAAAGCAATCACCATCCACTCTAGTGGCAAGCGTCGATGATGGACTCCCCTCAAAAAACCTCGCAAAGGGTTGTCATTTTACGAAACAGGCATCCAGACACAAAGCTGTTGCATTACCTTTACACTACCGTAGATCTCTTATACGGCACTTCCTGTTGGCTAATTCGAAGTGTGCGTGGTGTACTGAACGGTAGAAAGCCAGAGGAAGGCATATCAGTTAGGGTGAGTTTGGATACATTACTCGCCCACATGCCCAGAATGGTCGCAGTTTCCATAGAGAACAAATTCTTTGAGAGTTAATACATTACACCAAAAAATATACGAGCATCATCTCCTCTAAACTAAAACGTTCAACACACACGTAAAAACGTTTGCTACATGCCACTTTACGCTATAGTTTGTGAACGTGTTTTGCGGCCCGACATCAAAATAAGCAATACGAAATTGTTTTTTTATTGTAGCTCTCAATTTTGTGGCTAACAAGTCAAGCAAACCGACACAGAATCTCTTTATGACGGAGTACAGACAACCTAGCACATAATTTAGCCCGCCATTTTGGTTTTATCCTTCACGGAGCCAATCCTATTAGATTACATATAAACATTTTCATATCAGGTTGCTAAATGCCTCCAAGTATAGTAATCATCCCTGTATGGCTTATCGTTCGCAGCTCTCTCTGCAGACAATGCTTCATGTGTGGCATTGGGTGGGGTGCGGCATTAATGTATCAGTTCACAGCTAAGTCCCTGGTAGTCTTTTTGAAAACTCTGAACTGCACAGACTGGGAATATCCGTCATACGACATCTTAAACAGCTTTCATTAAGACTGGAAATACAAGCCATGTGCCGTTAACTTTTGCCTCCAACGATATTCCAGTTGCAAAATTCGACAAACTTTGGCTTACTTTGAATGTTTTGTAGACTGTATTTCAATCCAAATCTGCAGCCAATGAATTTCTAACCAAGATATCAACCCTCTGACCACATTTGTCGTTAGCAGAGTGCGTTGGAACACCTTTCTTTGAACCAAAGATGGAGAGCCGTGGTTTGTGATCGGTGAGTAGAGTGAAACGGCGGCCATACAGCATTTTGTGGAAATGCCGAACCGCAAACACCAGTCCAACGCTTCTTTCTCTATTTGGCTGTATCGATGTTCTGCTGGAGTTAGCGATTTCGACGCATGCATAATGGCTTTCTCTGATCCATCTGGGAAGATGTGTAGGATGATGGCAGCGACTCCACAGTTGGAGGCGTCAGCTGCCACAATAATCGGTGGTTTCGGGTCGTAGTGGGTCAGCAGCATATCAGAGCTGAGCATGGTTTTCAGCTTGCAGAATGCTTCCGTCCTGATGTGTTCTTCCGTTTTAGAACAGATATTTCGTACCTTATTTCTCCTTCTGACGGGCGATTTAGGTTTACGTTCCATTTGCTTGTATGCATTTTCACTACAGTTGCATTGCAGGATGTTATTCAAAATGTTCCGCACAACTTTCCAGTCAATGTTTTTGCGAGCGAATTAAGCAGCAGCTTTATTTACACATCGTTCACTGACCCCTACTCTCCTAGGGCTAGTCAGTCGTATCAGCGCGGCTGCCTTTGATGATAGCTCTCGGTCTTTCCTTAGGCTTGTTAATATTTGGCGTTTGATGGATTTGCACGCGCCGTCGCATTCGTTGTTTGCTGCAACAGATTTCCTAGCATCATTCATGGATAGCAATTTTGATGGCATTCAGCAATTTTGTGGTCAACCCAGAGAAGTTGAACAGATAGCACTAAACACCACTAGCATATCTCCCTTTACACTTTGCCACACTTCAGGCATATGCTCCCTGTCAGTACAGTATTAGTTTACTGTGGTGAGTGGTTGGGTTAGCTCAAGTCGAAACTGTTGAGCTATGGTAGTTTTTGAAGATACCGGATTAGAATGCTTCATGCTGAGTTGCAAGATCCTGATAGAAAACTAAATGCTGGGCGTCTATCAGTGATCCTGGTTACCACACGAGCGAACATTGCTGATCATTCTGGTCATTAAGGTTACTAACCGGGAGTTCTTCTGGTTTAAAATTCCATGAATTTTAACGAGATGCATACTGCTGATGGTTCCCAATGAGGTTAATACAGCTGTAAAGTGCTTCCAACATTCAACATAGATTAGGCGCGGTACCCGTTAGGCCGCAAGTAATCGAAACCTGTTTTACCGTTCCCGATAGTGAAAGAAACAATAATTAACACTTGAGTCCACATAGTTATGAATACCTTGTTCTTTTTATGCGCAATTCGATAGTAGTTCGGAGCTATGGCAATGCCGGAAAGTCAAACATTCAGCATTATTGTCTGAGTTAGTAAATCTAAATATCTTGCGTCAAACAGTAGTCGCTCAGCTGTAAAAGGCTGTTCAAGTTTATTGATATTTTAATTCGGTCAGCATATGTTTTCTATGTGTTTTCTATTTGTCCTGCCACAGAAAACAGCTACTAATTATTTCCGTCTCTCTAACACTTACGTATCTAGTCGGAGTGTTTGCAAGATTTACCAAGTTATATTTGATAGTATCTTATTCTTTCTACAGAAGGGTAGAAACGATGGGCCCGTAGAGCTTGCACGACCGTTGTGTTCCATTAGTTTTTTTTCGGTTCACATGCACGTCCATCTTCTATTTGTATTACGGGCAAAATTAACAGAATTACCAAGACATTCATGCCACATATTATAGGTACGAATAGAAGTGTGAGGCTATTCCCTTTGAACTCCCGCTCACCTGGCCTTCCAAACATGCTCTAATATTGCGCGGTGGAAGAACGGATGCGATCCCGAGAAGAGAGCCCTGCACTATAGCTCCTGCACCTGAATTGGGTTAATTAGACTCTATGTCAAACCCACTGTTTATTATCACAACGGAAGCCAATGTAAGCCCAAGAAATAGTTGAGCATCTGTAGAACAAAAAATATGGTAAAACAAAGGAGAAACGTACTTATTTCGATGCGAACTAAGATCACGGTCAGCACGAACATCAAGAATATGGTAGTGCTTCCCGAAAAATATCGATTAAAAGCCGGAATCCTGAA